ACAATAAACAAATCAAGCACACAAAATTTTACTATAAAAATCTGGAAGAAAATGGGCATTAACATTTTTAAATTAAAAAAATAATAAAATAAGAGTAAAAACAATAACAATCTAGTCATTTTGGGCTCTAGGTTAACTTTGGTTCTATTAAAACAGTCTAAAATAGTCTAATCCCAAAAAAAGGTTAACAAGTCAAACCGAGTTGCTTTTGTATCTGAGTGACAATCCAATCATTTGAACTAGTTTGGGTTTTAAAACACTACTTTTAAGACCCAATTCACCTAAACTTTTTTATACCCAGAAATGGTTGGCTTGATATGTTAAATAGAATAAAATAAAATAAAATAATGAATTAAAAAATTCTTCTATAATAAATAAAAATGAAAAAAAAATCAACTACTAATCTACTTTGCTTTTTTTTTAAAAAAAATTAGAATATATTTTAACATTCGTATACTTTCTCAGGCTTCTAAACTCACTTTAATCAAATCTGTCCTATCAATTGCTAATATTTTCCTAATCTCTTGCATCAAATTATCTAATGTTATGTTTAGATGCATACAGATTTGGATTTGAATTTGGATTTGAGCCAAATCCATTAATTGAGTAACTAAAACTGTATGAATATGGATTTGACCTAAATTTAAATTCAAGTCCTACCTCAATCTGTTTATAATTTAATATCCTTTTTAAACCCTAATATTTCAAATCCTAACTCATTCTTTCTTGTAATTTGACCTAAATCCATAAAGATTTGATCGGTTCGCTAATGGTAATTAGACTAGACCGTTGAAGTTAACCAGACTGCCAACTTCTACTGGGATTGGATCGATAATGATGACTAGAACAGGACAGCAGACTTTCATCAGGATAGGATCGATGCTAATGATTGGGATGAGATGACTAACTTCCATCGAGATCGAACTAATAGTGACAATCGGGATAGGACGGCAGACTTCCTCTGGGATTAGACTGACATTGACAATCGAAACAAGATGATTGACTTCCACCAGGATAAAACCAATTGTGATGTCCGAGAGGGGATGGCCAACTTCTACAGGGACCGGATCGACAGTGACAATTGAGACAGGATGGCTGATTTCTATTGGTATTAGACTGATAGCAACTATGATGACTAGAACCGGACAATCGACTTCCACGGGGATCAAATTGACGGTGACCATAGGGATCAAAAGTTCGACTTCCATCAAGAGTGAACCTAAGGCAATGATCGGGACTAGACTGATGACAATGAAAGTTGATCATTTGTTCCTGGTGGAAGTTGACCATCCTTTTTGGGTCATTGTTGTCAATCTGGTCACCATGGAAGTATGTAGTTTGATCCTGGTAGTCGCCGTCGGTCTAATCCTAGTGGAATTTGACCATTTGATCCTAATTGTCGCTATCAGTATGATCTCAGTGGAGGTCAGTCATCACCGTCGATCCAGTCCCAGTGGAAGTCTTCAATTCGATCCCTGTCATTGCCATCGATCAAATCCTAATTGTCATCGTCGGTCCTGTCCTAATGAAAGTCGGCCATCTAGTACTTGTCGTTACATCAATCCAATCCCAATGGTAGTTGGTTGTCACTAGTGCTATAGTCGTAGTCGGCTTTAACTATCTTATCCTGGTGGAAGCTAGCCATTCGAATCGTCAACTTTGACTAGTCGTCCAAGTTTTTTTTAAATTCAAATATAAAATATAAAATTTTACTTTAGATCAAAACAAAAAATTTTAATATTATAATTTGAATTTTTTAATATCATCTAATCATAGAATTTAAAATCTATAAATTTTAAATGTAAAATTTTAAATATGAGATTTGTAATCTCCTGGGTTAGACTAGTAAGGTTACCCTTACTAATCCTTCTCATTCCTACAAAAATCAATATGATTTCACATTTGATAGAAAATACAGTTAGAAACAACCAAGTTTTTCCCAAGCTACAATTGGGAGAAAACAATTTCAAACCATTTACAATAGGATTCCAAGAAATTTAACATTCAAATCTCTCCTATACAATTTCACTATCTTCAAATTAGAGTTTTAAACAATGCGGAAGCATGGGCAAAAGGAAAGTAAAGGAATTTGTATAAAATTTCAACATAGTGAAAATAGTGCAAAAATGGCACGTGCATCATGGCTAAATGTCATTGTGTCAAGATTCATTCACCTCTGTGTCATACATCATGGTGTATTACATGAAATATTACAGTAAAATTTTGTTGTTAATGATAACATAAGAAAGAAACTTTTAATGCATCCCAAATCTCTATCCGATGTTTGATTGAGGTAGTTTCAGTGTCTATATAAAGCTTTCTCTTAGCTTTAGCTAATGGCACAAGTTTTACTTTTAAATTCATTTTCTACAAAGAGTTGGAAACTCAAACCTATTTTTACTCCTTGTTCACAAAACTCACATCAATAGTGTCCAAACTCACACATAAGTGTCAAAAGCCTACATCGACCATTCGACCACACTTAAGGAACCCTATTGGACTCGTGCAACATACCATAACCACACAAATACTCATATAACACAAATTTTACCACTCAATACCAAATTTCATAAAACATAAAGGGGAGGAAATCTTAGTACAAATCCCTCATTTTCATTTTAAATCAATCCAAAATACACATATCACTACTTGCACAAGTATTTTAACCTTATACAAGATTTATGACCATAATTCATTGACCCAAGATACAAAATACACAAGTTTTAAAAAATGATAGTGGAAGTAGCTCAAAAATAATGGCATATGACCTAGTTGGCAAATTAACTATCTTAATACATATAAAACAAGGTAAGGAGGCACACAAATGGGATTTACAAACCAAATTATTCTCACTCTTTATTTTAATTATATTTATTTATGAAATACGATGCTTTGCTCTTTTTTTTTTGGCCCCACTTTGATTGTCACCAAATTGCATCGAATACAGAGAAATCAAATATCCTTCTATCACCAAACTTTTTTTTTTCCTTCTAGTTTCTGCATGTATCTTCTTGTTAGAAATAATTTTATTCAAAATATTATCAAACATTCAATGTGAGTACTTCTCTTAATAAAAATTCAAATCTTAATTTATAAGGGATTAGTTTATTCTGTTAAACTCAATCCCATTAGTTACTATCAAACCCCATTAGTTACTTATTTTTTAAGCTCTAAAATTTTTGATTCCAATGACACATTTTAGAAAAAAATTATTTACCTAAATTTGATCTTTGTCTTGTTCCTTTTTTTCTTTCTCCAATTATCTCCTAAAGTATTATGTAAAACAACATCTATTTTAAATTTTTTTATTGTAGATAATATGCTAATCTTAGGCATGTTAATGCTCAAATATGAATCAATTAACAATTCTGGATGATAAGTATATATTTTATTAACAAGATATTTTTTGTTATTGATTTGTCAGTATAAATATTTTATCACTTTCTTGTTTATATAAATTATTTTTGAAAGTTATAAATGCTAAATTTATTATATGCATGTAGATAGGTACTACATGAATGTAGATAGATATTACATAAAATTATCCCTTAAATTTTAGGTCTAATATCATAGTAGACCCTAAACTCATTTATTATAAAAATTAACCTTTTAACTTTTAAAGACAGTGTAATGTGGCCCTAATCATTAACAAAAGTTAACTTTAATTATTAGTTAAACAAAAAATGACACAAACAGACTTAAAAAATTATAGAAAATGATCAAAAAATTAAAATAAAGGACACAAAAATTACAAAAAAGGATTCAAAATTATAGAAAATGATAAAATTTTTGATCATTTTTTGTAATTTTTGAGGTTCTTTTTTATTATTTTCTAGTCAATTAACAGTTAAAGTTAACTTTTGTTAACAACAGAGGCTAGATTGTATCATTTTTAAAAGTTGAAAGGTTAGTTTGCATAATAAACAAGTTTGAGGTTTACAGTGTTACCTGATCTAAAGTTTAGGTACAATAACCCAAAATTTAACACTTTCTATGATTTTATGATTAAGAAATATTACATTATTATAAACAAATTATAAGATCTAGATATAAGTGCGCACACATACACATACACCCATATATGTATGTATGTATGTATTAATTATATTTTTGTATGAAACTAATAATAATAATAATTAAAAGACTATTTTTTACTACATGTTGTTATTTGGAAAGTATTATAGCAAGCCTGAAATAAAACGCCAAAAATAAAATTTGAATGACATGTATTTTTTTGGCTTGAAAAATATGTATGTAAATATCTCACAAACTTTCCAACATCACAATAGTGTCAAAGCAAAAAAAGAAGACACCCAAGCAATATTTTTTCATATATACCTACCGAAATCAAATCTTAAAATAATATTTAAGGAATCTGAATTGCTACCATTTATATCACACTCACTTAGTTGTTATGTCTCAATTTTTTTTTTTTTATCTCAAACCACCCTTAGTGATTACAAATATAAATTATTAAAAAGAGGAATATTTAATTTTAAGAAAACCAACCCGTGTTTTTTTTACAAATAACTAATTAAATTTCTTTAAGCTATATATGTTAGTTGCCTAGCACATATGTTTTGGGATCGGACGGCGTTGGGCCCCAAAAAAAGAACAGAGAGGATCGGACGGAGTGTATTTTGAAAAGTCAATATCCAGTGCCATTTTATATTTCATTCCACTGTATTAATTTTATATCTAATCTTTAACAAAATATTTTTTTTCCTTCTTTGATGCTCAACTGTTCAGATAAAATTTCAAAAAAATAATCATCGACTTTGCTGTAAAAAAAAAAAAATTACATCATCCATTTTCAAATATGAAAAAAATAATTAACTTATACAGTTTAAAAAATTGATTAAATATAATAGTTATATCTGTAATTAAAAAATTTAAACTAAATTATCTTTATAATCAATGAAATAAATTTATTATTTAATGAAAATAAACATTGACAAGGGACAAATTTAAAAAAAATGTAATATATGTCTATTAAAATTTATAGTTTTGTTTGTAAATAAAAATATCGTACAAACTAGCAGTGAAGTTCCTTATTTTCTATTTCTTCTTGGTCCTTGTCAGTTTTAAACTCTTGCCTTCAAACTTTTTTGCCATCCTGACGACACTTGCCATGCCTTTCCTTGCAGCAGCTCGGAGCTGTGGCCTACGACTCATCATCTTCCGATCAAGCGGCCAATATGCATAAGGCTCCATCTTCTCCTTTCTCTTCACTTCCCCACTTGCTTTCTTGCTGCCATATTCCCACCACCCACACTCTAATGTTTTTCTGCGCTTTTTCTTCACTCTACTTCCAGACTTGCCAGACAAGTGACTCTCAGCTTCTTCACTCATAGCAGCATCATCAAAATCAAGCTCATCAGGTTTTCTCTTCCTCCAATCCCCTTCCTCACGAATAATCAGGCGTCCTTCAGAATCTACTTCAACTTCTTCATCATCTAACATTGACTTTCTTTTGTGATGCTCGGATGATTTAAGAGCTGAAATTGTTTTTTGCCTGTCAAGCAAATCAAGTGGCTCTTCGTCTAATTGGTCAGGCAAGTGCTCAAGCAAATTCTTCTTGTATCTGATCTTTGACCTAGGTAGAATACAATAACAATGTTAAAATCCATTTCAATAGTGAACCACTCAAGATAAGGCACAAGAACAATCTCATTTTGCTAGGCTAGGTTCTATATTACTCATGGTTATCTGTTGGGCAAAATGAATCAAAATGTTTAACATCGCATTATTTATCCACAAGGACTAAAACCACTAAGATTGCAATTATCACTTATTTAACATCACATAATTTATCCACAAGGTAGTCAAAGGAAGACTCATTAGATTTAATACTACAGCTCACCGATATGAAGACGCTGCTGATTTACTGCATGAGAAAGACTTGCCCCCTCTGGAGATGGTCTTCGTGTTCAAGTATTCTGCATCAGTTCCTCCACTTTCTTCATCATCAAAATCAGAAAAAAAATTTGTATGGTTCCACATGCTTTGCCTGAATTTAGAGTCATATTGATCATCATCAATAACAACAACAATAAAGAATTGCATTGCATTGATCATATGCAGATTAAAACAGGTTAATTATTTTAATATGGAACATGACACAACAAACACTAAAAAAATGATGAGCTTTTCAAAGGTGGTCTAGGTATTAAAAATCACAAGACCAATCACAAAATGGCAATACTTTAAGTAATGAAGTTTAACCATCTATCAAGAAGCTAGCTTGCTAATCGCATTAGGCATCACATTAGGCATCGCCAATTCTCTTGCTTATCAGTCAAGATAAAATCAATTTGCACAAATTTAAGAGAACTGCAAATCAACATATTTGAGTGGGAAGGTAGTTTTGAAACAAGTGTCCTTGCTAGTAAAACCTATGTATAAATGTAAATAATCATAATATTAACCTGGATGTAGGTGCTTTTGAAAGACAAGATCTAGTTTCCTTAGTTTTAGCACCTCCTTTCCTTTCCTTCTGCTCTTTGATCTGCATTAAAAACAGGATTACACGTCTGATTGAGTGCTGATGAGAGATTTTATCATATGATGCTGTTCAACAGACCTTGCGTATGCAGGTAAGAAGTCTCATATGGTCTTGAGGCATGACAGCCTTAACCGCCTCCAGTCCACACTTCCTAACAAGCATTTCCAGAAGAAGCTTTGCCTGAAAAAAATTGAATCTCATCACAACATTATAATATGAACAAGAAGCAAAAGAAACAGAAAAATGGCAGCCACCAGCAACAGGTCAATGAAACTGCATTAAATGAAACATTACGATAGGATAGCCAAACACCAACCTTCGCTTTAAAATGATTGTTGGTGTTATCTTGCCAGTTCATCAAACTTTCCACCATGCTCTTCAGATGCGATTGCAACCATTCTATTTGTGATTTAGCTACTAATACCTTTAATAATCCTAAATTGGCCTGCAGCAAGATTCAACACTGGTTTACTTGATTTTGGAGCTTAAATCAATTACATTGCTGCATTCGGCATAGCATGTAACCATAAAACAAAAGAAAAGGAAGCAAACCTTTACAATCTCTCTGTTTTGTCTCTGAAGTAGGAGCAAAGTAGATGGAAGCAAATTGGAAGCAGTTGAAATAAGATCAGAAAACTCATAGCAAATACGAGCTAAACCTTTAGCTGCTGCACTAATCATATGTGGAGTTTCATTGACCAGGCCACTGGCAATCTAAGCCCAAGAAAAAGAACAGAATCAAATATAGTATATGGTCAACCTAAAAAATACACAGCTCATGTATAGTGGGTTAAGAATTAGATTACATTATCCAATCAAGGCAGACTTATATCAACTATTATACATTAATTTATCAATAATTTAGTGAAGAATTCAAAATCTATATTTACCATATTGAAAATCTGAAATAAATTTTCTCTATTCCCGCCTCTCTCTTCATCTCCAAGTGCATGACCAATTTCAACAAGAATGGCATAAGCCCTATTCCTAGTTTTTTTATTAGCCTGCAGAAATAATATATATTTTAAAGTTAACACCTCAGCAAACTTATCAAGTCAATTCAAAACATATTGACAGAAGTGATGTTTGTGTGAGATGACTAAACAACATACAGGCATCACACAATAAACATGACCAGCTGTAGTATAAGTGCCATTGCAGAAACAAGAGAATACAATAATAAAGGGTGGGACAAAAAATTGGTATAAAGCAATGTTTTTAACGCTTCAGCAAATATAATAAAATTCCTAGCAAATCAAATACATCTACAACTCTAACCCATGGAACTTTCGAAGAATAATATAAGCAATGAAAATAGAATCATATGATGTATTTCCAAGGAAGAACGCCAGCACAGATTTAACAAAAACGACAAAAAAAGGCAGAGTATTGGGGAAAATGGAATAGAAAGGGAGAAAATTCGTCTAAATTCATTCTTAAGAGATTCCATATGTCATAGGCTAACTATATAGTGGCTCCTAACTGAGGATAAAATTGGACAACAACTAATGAACTAGGCCTCCCCTACTGATGGGCCTTGGTGGACATATGAAATACTCTACCACTTTCTTTTCAAATTCACGTCTGCGATCTTGATCTTTCACCACTTTCTTCTCCAAAGAAATGATGGTAAAAAAAAAAAGGAAAGCAAGGGGAAATAGCTAGTTTGAATTCCTTCTCAAAAGATTTCATACATCAAAGGCTCCCCAATCATCATATAGTGGCTCATAACCAAGGATAAATCAGACGATAACTAATAGATTGTGCCTCAGATAATGATGAGCCCTGTACATACATGATACTCAGAAAAATAGACTTTGATTTGGATAATCAAGAGGAAAACACTTAACCCCAACTTTAATAAAACACAGAACCAAAATAGCGAAAAAATGCACATGCTCTAGACATGTCTGTGCTAGTAATAATACATCGCTAAGCTTACAAAAGGCACTGCATACTAAACCAACAAGCCCTCTCCCCAAAAAGAGAGAATGTAAATTCTATGGTGCTGTTCCTGTGCCCTAAAAATTCCTGGCAGGAGTAGCAAAAGCCAAAAGACATTGCATACTAAACCATATATTTTATTTTTACAATTGCCAAATTGAAATGAAAAGGGCATTAAATAAAAGTACTAGAAGAAAGTTTTTCCCACAAATAAACCAAATTACCTCCTTAAGAGCAAGTAATATTTCTGTAAGGAAAGTAGAAATAATTTCACGCCACCTTTGCTCCAGACTATCCTGTTGCAGTGCATAATTTCAAATACATTACACTTGCAATATGAATATAGTAATATTCTGCACATCAGATGCATCATGGAAAGAACAAGGTAGTTTAGAAAATGGAAGCAAGACCAATAACCATAAGTACCTTGGAGACATGGACTATTAGGAAGTGAAGGCAATTTATTCTATGGCGTTTGGAGGAAATCTGACAAGAAGGCAGAACTTCAAGCATAAGAGCAAGCAGCTCCTCCAACTTTGATGGGATAAAATCATTTGAATCCTGTTGAGAAAATCCATAAACAAACAAATTACTAGCTTGACACTAGCTAAGCAGCCAAAACACCAAATATTAATTTGGCATTTTGGTTCTCAAAGGAAACATAATGCACATTAACGGAATGACATTTTTCATTATGCTTCAACAACCAAGTTCAGACCAGGAAACTAGTAATTGCACAATCTGCATCCATTGAATGATTGAGGCAGGGAAGTTTCTTGGTGAACACTAGTCAAGATGAAAGGCCATATGATACTAAACATATTTTAAACTATTACATGAATCAGATGAGCAACTAGAGAAAATACCCTGAGAATGATTGAAAGTACTTTGTATCCCTTCTTCTGTATAACACCTTCAACATCCTGGAAACAATGATTCCTCATATTCAACATAACTTTTCATCACAAAAAGGAAGTTTAGGGGATTTATGCAAAGAACAAAGGATTATATATATCTCCTTCAAACCTGTAACGTTGGCTTTATCGCAACATATAGTAGATCAATCTCCTCAGCTTTTAAACCAGGCAACAGGGAAACTGCCACGTCAAGGAGTTGTGCCCTGGGATTATAAAAAAGAGAAAGAAATAAAATGATTACTGTCAGCTATATGCAGACACCCACCATGATCATAAGACACCTTAGAAAAATTCATGACACAAAAATCTAAGGCTGAAATAAACAAGTGGCGACAATGAACACCTGGCAACTGATAGCGACACATCATTTGATGACTCATCAACCTGCATGGAATTGGTGTTGGCTGCTCTAAAGGCTTGTTGTGTGACTTCTAAAAGCTCACGCATTGTCCTTTTGAAGAGCTTGGATGTCACTTGTCCATTTGATATGGAAGCAATCTCCCTGATTGTGTGCTGTAAACAGAACAAAATCATTTAGGAACATCTTAGAGTAAGTAAAGGCAACCAAGTGCAAATCCAAAACCACAGTGAAAAGGGAAAAAAGCTTACTGAAACGATTTGCATAAAACAGCTCTATTTATTTTATTCAGGTGGAACGATTACATACATAGAAGAGATAAGAGAAATTAAATCTAATCAAATCACCTAAATCCCTCCTATAATCTCAGAGCATTAAAAACAAATAAATACAGAAGATAATTATATCTGATCTAACAAATGAAAAATAGGTTTTGTTAGGTTTGGGCCTTGTAAGTGGCCGCAGGCCCACTTCCAACACTTACAAACAAGTAAGAGAATCTAGTACGCTTGTGAACAATGTGAACTATGAGGAATGTCTAAGAACTACATCTACATGACAACATTCTAATTTTGAATGAACCAGCTTGAGGAAGAAAAATTGCCAGATAATGTATTTGCAGTGAAAGCCCATATATTGTAACTCGGTATAAGCTTTCAAATTTGGAAGGCCTAAACTTGGAAGAGTCAGAGGTTAAATGTGTTGGCTGAAACTGTCTTGAGCATTCGGACTTATCTATGATTAGTAATGATCTCAGTCCTAACATGACGGTCATAATGTGGTGATTTAGAGTTTAGGACTGATTTTAGAGTAATTACCTTTTTGTGGAAACTAAAAGCCAATACAACAAGAAGAAGCTATTCAAGCAAACTACGCCTACATGTTCACACTGATCAACTCAATGCAGGCCTTAATTTTTTTTTTTGGGCCTGAAGTGCAAGCCTCAATTGACCACCTAGCCACATGGAAGCAAGCTTAGACAATGTTGTGAATTTAAATTCCCACTAACATCAATTGACATGACAATCATTGTTTTAGCATCTGCGACGATGCATCCCTTAGTGTTACCCCTACTATTGCAATGGGAGCTAGGAATCAAGTGACACAAGTGTAAAGACAATATGCACTTTATGGGTAGTGGATGGCAAAATCTGTCAGAATTCAGTCCTAGAACTAGAATGCAATCTGTAACATGTCATAGATAGTAATAACAGTATGAATGCCACGGATGCAGGTAACACATGCATATAACCATTACAAGGCAGAGACATGTATGATATAAAATCCCACATTAATCTCATCAATCTTAATATATATTTAAATCAGATCAGCCAAAAGGATTTTTCGGCAATAAAGAATTAAGAGAACTATTTCTGACTGATTTAACCCAAGTACCTGCAGACAACCTCCACCATCTTTTGTAGACTTCAAAACACATGTCAGAACACCTAAAAGTTGCTCAGCAGAAGACTTTAGCACGTTCAAATTGCTTGTTGCAACCTCTTTTGTATAATGGACCAAACTAGGCTCACTGGCCATATCTCCACCCACATATTGCTCGTAATCTTTTTCGTCCACAATTTTCTTGTTTTGCTGAATAAGAAGCTGCAAACTTGAGCATATTATTCCTCGAATGTCAGGTTCTTTTTGAAGCGTGTTATATAAAGTGCTTTTTGGATGGACCAGATCCATGAAACAATCAGCAGTGTCTAAAGGATAGTTGCAAAATGATGGCAGCAAAGACCACAATGAGTATGCAAGAGCATCCGCATTCCTTGATGACACAATCAGCCCTTGTAGGTCAAACTACAGAAAGTAAAAAGTAAGAAACAGATTGTCCTAAAGAATAATAAAGCAACTCATCATTAATATTTCATACCTGTTTAGACCTCTCCTTTAAATTATCAATCATTTTCAAAATTCCCTCTTTGAAAAAGTTTAGACGTGCACCTACAGTATAATGTTTTAGAATTGGAAATAGCCAAATATTTGCATTTGATAAGTCATCTGCTTCCAAATTCAAAGGTAGAAGAGAGAGAAAAGTTTCCAGTCCCATTGCAACAAGAGCAGAACCAAGGCACTCATGCAGCTGCATGTTTTAGAATATTAAATATCAGTCTGCAATACATTAAAAACTAAAAATTATATTAATGATCGAGCTTTTACCCCAATCCTACACTACAAATCAAACTGCCAATGAAATCTAATCTAGTGAGAAATGAAAGAAAATAAAGGTGCTCCCAATGTCTTTAATAACCAATTTATAGAGCATAATAAACTTAGATTAGCAGCACTGAAACTATATTTTTTTCATTTGCTAAAACATCAAATCTAACAATAGCACAAACATCAATCCAAATATCACATGCCAGAAACTAGATCTGCCACCTCATTAGGGGCTCTCAAAATTACTAAGACAGGTTACTTTCTTCTGAACTTCAAGATTGAAGTACAAGTTAAAACAATGTTCAACTTTTTTAACTGTTCAAAATTGAGATATTTGGTCTACATTTAATATGTAATTGGAAATTAAAAATAGACAATAGAACATGTATTTTGGATCTCACCATAAAATACATAACTATCAAGAATGTGTTATATAAATGTAATAGGAGGAAGTTCGTTGGGATAGTCAGTAAAGGAGTTAAAAGGCCGTTAGGAATGTTAGTAAGCCAACAACTATATATATATAAGGTGTAAGGGTCATTGCAATCAGCATGGTGTGGTGTGAACTAATAGACTATTTTTCCTTTCTTTGGTCTCTCTCTGCTCTCTCTGCTCTTTCTGTCACATTCCCTCTCAGATTCTCTCGCTTTTTCTCTTTCCTACCTCCATTCTATATCAAAATGCAAGATTAACAATAGACGAGTGATGTTTCCAATAAGGATCTGTTGGCGGACATCTATTTTGGGCTTGAGCCCATTACTATTATGGGCTTAACCTATTTTCTATTTAGGGTTTAAACTATTTTATTTCCTTTTTTTTCCTGTTATTATTATTAACAGATATTTAGGAATAAAATCATATTAGAATCTGATCATATTTGATTCAATGTAATTGTAATTTTAGCTATATGTACATTATCAAGTCATCAAATAAAACTGAACCAGAGTATTATTCAAACTCTGATGATTTCTGGATCCCCTAGTAAAACACATGCAAACAAGATGCAATGAATGATACATATTGCGTGATCTCTAAGTTGTACCACACATGCCAAAACGACAAAAAAAGAAGCAAATATGTCATATCAAAATTTCAACCTGCGTCAGGATTATTGAATCAAAATAAAATGTATTATTATAAAAGATAGAAAGACCTGTTTCCTAAAGGGAAAATCTTCATCAGGTAGCTTCTGAAAATCAGCTAAGTTTTTAACTATTCCCGTCATAAAATAAGTGGAATAATTTCCTGTATTGACAAAATTAGTCACAGCAAAATTCAGCAACAACGCACGCATACCGTGCTATAATTTGAAGTTTGAGAGATGAGATTATGAAGAAACAGAAACTATTCAATGAAAATATCCCAAACAGGGAGTTAGATAATTAATCGCTTCAATATAGTAGCCAGCTTGTACGCCCCACGATTTGAGAAATAACACTTCTACCTCTGCAGTTTAATGACAAGCAAAACATATATGAATGAATGTTGTGAAGTAGAAAAAGACTAGCCAGCAATCGAAGTACCCAATTTGCGAAACATAGCTGAAACAACTTCAAATACTTTGTCCCAGACAGCATCAAAATGATAATCAAGCAGGCTTTCAATAGTTGCAGAAACTTTTTCAATGATGGTAGGACCAGACCTCCTTGATGGAGTGTCTGCATTCAAAGATATCTGATCAACTCCCTGTTTAATCAAACTTTCATCAATACAAGAATGTATCAAACTCTTGAATGAACCAGTAGCTGCATGTATAGCCTCTTCATGTTCTGATGACAAAATATCTGTACATTTTAAAGAACGAAGCATACTTTAATAATTAATTTGTGACAGAAGGTGCACATATAAAGACACAGAATAGAGTTCAAGGAATTGAATTCTGCTAATATAAACATCATCTGAACTTCACCAATCGAAGTGCATCCAGAATCTTAACCTTTGAGAGCATTAAAGACAATAGGCAGCTGGATAACACACATTTGCCTATTAAGAGTAAAAACTTTATTCATTCCAACGTCTAGCAAACGAGATGTAAACGCCATTACATCTCCAGATATCTCATTTGTTGAGATAGAAAGAGCCAATGAATTTAGTAATTCAAGTAATGCTTCAGGGGAAACCTCTGATGCTGGATAGAGACAGAGAAAACTCAAACCATCAGTTATGCGCCTAGTGACAAGGGGTTGATGTAGATCCAAGAGAGTTTTGAAGTACTTAAGAATGCAAGTCTTGCACTTCAGTGACATAAGAGGAAGGCATTCTTTCAAAGCATCAAGAATATATAGAACCTGCTGAGCTCCCTTTGGTCCTTCACCAGAACGTGCATTTTCTCCACCAGCAACCAGCAGAAACCTCTCAAATATGCTTGTAATTCCTTCACTAGCAGATACCAGCAATGGCGATTCTTGGAAGCTCAGTAACACATCACGAAGACACAAATGTGATTGCCTTCTAACCTGTATATAGATCCAATTAGCACGCAATATCAAAGGGCAAGCGTTGTTTTCCCAGTCAGTGAACTTTGTCCGTATTCAACAGTTAAGGCAACTGAGACAAAGACTAATTATAACTGAGGAAGTCATGGAAGGTTCCTAACATAATTAGATCCTCTCTTGCATCTGTCTTGCTCTGTTATTTGGCTTTGTTATACAAATATAGTGTTAAAAGTATGAAACCACCATCAAATATCAACTGTCTTCGGCTATAAACGTGAAAATTATGCGCCGTTGACGATGAAAAAACGTGACATTGATATTCAAAATTTATCAAATTCGGGTTTATGATTATTGCTTTTTAACCAAATAAATTTGAAGATTAAACGCTAAGAAGACTTGAACCAGTGAATGTGAGTTTCTTCTAGGATATCATTAGGTCAATTTCAAGGTAGAGTGGCAAGGAATCCCACTGCTACAGAGAATTTAGATGATGAACAAGTTACAGAATTTGTTTTGTATAGTACCTTTGGTCGCGAATCTATGACGAACCCCAACAAGACACTGAGCAGCCGAGACACATCAGACCACATGAGACTATCCCTGTGTCTCAACAGATGCGAGACGCATTTCAATCCGGGAATAACAGAAGTCTCGGCCATTGAAGGAGACCGGAGAACTTGCACCAGAAGATGCGACAAAAAGTCCCTTTTCTTCTTCAATATTGCAACGGGTACACAGGTAATGACGTTGGAAAGAATTGTGAGCAGCGCGTCCACGAGGTGGTTAGGGGCGTCGGGTTCAGAACAGAGGCGGTCGAGGGAAGAACATGCGGCACCGAAGTAGGCAACATATGTGGAAGGGAGATTCTGTTCTTTGAACTCCTGGGACATGGCGCAGATAACAGCGCAGAGATGCTGATGACTTTCGTCGGTGGAATTGCCGAAGCGAGAAAGAATGGAACTGCAGAAATCTCCATTGTCTTCGTTTAGGGACAAGCAAGGTTCTTCTAGTTCGATGCCTTCCATGGCTCTAGAGCTAGCAGTGAGTGCGAAAAACCTAATTGCTTGCGCGCAGAGACGGGCCAAGGTTTTTCGAGGGCTCAAGAAAGGACGTAAGATTCTGAAACCTTGGTAAAGATCTTGATAACGGGGGAATTATTTCATTCAACCTCATAAGCCGTACAAAGTTGGAGCATATACATGAAGAATCGCACGTAATCCGCCGCCCATAACATCGCACGTAATCTGCAAACGATTTAGACACCAATTTTATATTTTTTATTTTTTTAATTTAGATTTTTAAATATTTATTTAAGATTAACTGAGTTTAATTAGATATTATTTAATTTCATTAGATAATCTTAAAATTTTAACTAATTAAATCTTGAATTTTAAAATATAAATGATATTTTTAATATTTTTACACATTTGCAAGTTAATTTTATTTTATTTGTGCATATCTCCTAAATTTAATTTGAAAAATATTGATGGATTATTATTATTATATATATGAAAGTAGGATTAAAGGCTACAAGAGAATATCATATGTCTATTTTTAGGTTTGCTATAATTCTGTGCTTCGGGGTGTGATTCTTACATTCTGTGCTTCCGAATCAGGTTTGGGGTTAGATTCGAGATGATTTTTTTTTAATATATATAAAATATATTATTTATGTTTGGAATTAGGTGTAGGATTAATTATTATTTTTTAGATGTATTAAAAAAAAACTTTATCTATTTTAAATCCAAATCTGATCATATTTGAATTTAAATTAATACTTATATATTTAAAATTTAGCAAAAAAAATATGTGTTTAAAATTTTCTGTCTGTCCTCATGATTTTTAAAAATTTTGAAGCACCCTAAATATTTGCTAAAAATTAAGATTCATGTAATCAATCATATAATAAATTTTAATAAAAAATTATTAATATATCTTGGGTGATTTTTCAAAATTTCAATCGTATAACAAAGTGTATATATATCTATTCAAAATTCAAATATATAGTTTTTAGTTATGGGATAAAATATTACTAAATACTAAAATTTAAAATTTCTCAAAATAATTATTTATGCTAAATATGATTCAAATTTTTGAAGAAATGGGTTAAAAGCTATAAGAGAATGCTATGTGTTTATTTTTAAGTTTGCTATAATTCTATATTTCAGGATACATTTCTTATAATTTTGTGCCTCAGAATTAGGTTTGGGCTTAGTTTTTAGATGATTTATTATTTTTTAATGTATATAAAATATATTATTTAGGTTTGGAGTTAGGTGTAGGATCAATTATTATTTTTTAGATGTATTAAAAAATAAATTTTATCTATTTCAAATCCAAATCTGATCATGTTTAAATTCAAATTAATACTTATCTATTTAAAATTTAGAAAAAAGAATATGTGTTTAAAATTTTCTATTTGTCCTCGTGAGACCCTAAATATTTGCCAAAAATTAAGGTTTGATATAAATTTTTATTAGCTTCTCCAATTTTTCAAGTAAATTGTTTGGCATACCACACTTATACACAAGCATCTAACTCCAACATCCACGCACTGCTTAGTGATTATAAAGCGGACGCTGCTACAATTGGTAAATTACACAACATTTTCCCTTGCCTCCAAATTTTAGTCTCAATTTTGCTACAACTTTTCATTGGCAATTGTCTCTAATTGGCATACATGAAAGGAGTCTAGAGATGAATTTGCTAAATAGGTGAATAATCTAACCTTGTCTTTAACTTTCATTATGGTTTGTATTAAATCTGAGCTGGCTTGAATTTTGTATTTTTCCTAGCTATCTATATTTTTTTTTTTGGAAAAATGTCTAAGCCCATTCAGATATTGTAGTTCACATGATGGTAATAATATTCCATTGCAATATAGGTTTGCGTCTCAATCCCAACAAGCCAATATATAGCTATTAATTTTTTATTACCAAAATATGTCATATAGTTGGATGACAATTAGTCTTTGAATTGAGACTCACCTAAAATTAACTCCACTTGAAGGACAAAGAAGGCTCCATCAAACAAGGATGCTCATGTAATTAGCCGAACAAGGAGCAAGGAGAAAGCGAAAAGGATAAGAAACAGCACATAATCACTTTGGAGGCAACTTTGACCATTTTGCTGCAACAAGAAAGGCAAGAATGTTGACAATTTTATTGCATGTTGAAGTCACCACTTGAGAGGTAGAAGGTCAAGCCACTGGATTAATGTTGTCATTTATATAACAAATGAAGCTAATCTCAATCATACCTAATGACTAATTTGAAGGCAAACTAGGTAACAACACCCAACCTCATGAGTGTTAATTGAAACATCCACGCTGTTGAATAACAGTATTTTTAGTTGTTTACGAAATGAGGCAAAGGTGAATTTCAAGCCAAAGTAACTTCTCCAATGTTTTGGGTGTCTTTACAATTTTCTACTTCGAAAGATAGTTTGTTTATTAATTTTTGGATTGGTTCAAGATGATATTTTAAATATTAATATATATATATATATATAATATTAATAGAGTAGCTAAAAGATACATAGTTTCTAATTTCTAATTTTTAGTTTTGAAAGATATGTAAATAATGTAAATAACATTTTCTATTTAAATGGCAATATTTTTTAATTAGATGAAATGAGACAGGGTTGGATTTGATATTCTTCCTCGATTTTACTTTTTAGGGTTCCTTTTTAGTGATTGCTTTTAAATTGGATTGAGGATTATGTGATTAATTTAAAAAAATTACCCTAGGTAATTTGTTTTGATTTTATTGTAATTACCTAAAACAATAATAATATCATCCTATATCAATCTAAAATATTATTCTACATAACTATAACCGATTAAGATGTTACAAATATTAATATTAAGATTAAAATCTAAATATATTAGGTAATCAAATAAGATTTTTTTAAGATTTTGAATTTTTTTATTTCTATAATATGATTATGTGGTTTCAACGTTAATAATATACTATTTTTAAATTTAATTATTTTCTTGAAAAATCTTTATAGTATAATCTAATATGTTGGGTTGATTTCGATTTAATTTTTATATAATATAATTTTTTTATTTTTAAAAATTATATTTCTAATTATCTTAAAAAATCTAATTGTATAATCTAATTATTATTCATGTTCGGTTTAAGATTAGTAAATACTTAGATTTAAAATTTAAATATTAATCAAAATCCCTTCAAACCCATGAGATAGCCAAAACTATGAATGTCATATAGACTATATCCCTTCAAACCTATGGGATAGCCAATAAAAACACATGTTTGTTTGTGCTCGTCAAACTTACATATAACCCTGGGATTGTGCACATACATTAAACACCCAAAACTACATAAATGTACATAAGTTGGTGGCTTGTGAAGCAATACCTCATATGGCATCTTGTGGTGCAAAGCTTCGGATGGGAGGCAATTGATTAGGTGTATTACGGCTAGCATGCATTCCCCCAAAATTATATTAGCAAACTTGCTTGAAAATGCATAGCACAAGCCACCCCTATGATGTAGCAGTGTTTCTGTTCAACTACTGAAAACTATCATTTGTTCATATCATTTTCATATTTTTTTGGGTTAATTTGTAATTTGCCCTCAAACTATTCTCAAAGGAACAATGTTACCCCTAAATTAATCAAATTGGAGCAATGTTGCCTCCGCCGTTAAAACGTCCATTATTATAGCCAGTGGGACCCATTTTCATGAGCTAAGGTGTAATTTTGCCTCTAAACTATTCTCAAAGCAACAATATTGCCCTCACCTTTTAAAAATCATAAAATTAAATTAAAAAATTATAATAATATTAAATGTATATATAAATATAAAATTATAATAATATTAAATTAAAATAATTTTAAAAGTATATATGAAATAAATATAAGAAAAAAGTTTATAGTATGATAATAAAATATTGTGAATTTAAGAATATTATAAATTATAAGTTTATAAATTGTTAAATGTAAGTGGATCTTGATTGAATTAGATATGAGTAGAGTCAAAAGTATTTGTATTTGCACATATAACTATCAACTGGAGCCATCATTAACGATTCAATTTTGACTAAAAATTATTTTCATGATTGAGTTGGATTGGACAAGAGTTATGCCGCTATTAAACCATAAATTGAAGTTGAATGAGGAACCAGAGCAGTTTTCAAAAAATTGGATGATTTTAAATATAATATTAAAAAAGCTTACAATTTTTTTAAAAATAAAAAAATTTAAAAATTAGATCTTACAAAAAGCTAACTTTATTTTTGAACAATTTACATGTGTAAAATATGATTTGAGACTATTTTTTTTTATAAAAATGCCAATAGTTATAGGTGCAAATACAGATACTTTTAAGTCTACTTATACATAATTTAACCAAGATACCCTTATATTTGACAAGTTTTAAAATTATAGTTTATATTTTTTCTTATATTTATTATATATATATATAATATTATTTTTATTTAATATTATTATAATTTTATTTTTATTTAATTTTATGATTTTTAAACGGTGAGGGCAACATTACTCATTTGAGAATAATTTATAAGCAAAATTACACTTTAACTTATGAAAAGTGGGTTTTACTAGTTACAGTAACGGATGTTTTAATGGCAAGGGCAACATTGCTCCAATTTAATTAGTTTACGGACAATATTATTACGATGAATAGTTTAGGGGCAACATTGTTCCTCTGAGAATAGTTTAAGGGAAAAATTACACCTTAATCCCATTATTTTCCCTAGATTTTGATACTTTTTAGGGGTATTTTGTGCATATTAGAAGCATTTAAGATCATTTGGCTACTTTTGTAATTTTCAAAACTTTCAAGGCAAAAATGCAAATTTATGAAAGTTTAGGGGCAAAACTATAATTTTTGAAAAATAGAAAAATCATCATTTGCTAATTTTTAGTTCTTCATTAATCTCATGAGTTTAATTTGAGTTAATTCAACTTATATTGTAAGTTATTTATTAAAACATCCTTTAAGGTACACATTTTTTGTATTTTAATTTTACTTTCCATAAATTTTGGAAGTATTTTAGGTTTAGTTTTTGTAATCAAGAACTCCTAAGAAACTTCTCATAACTAAATTCATCTCCTAATCTTTCATTT